ATGAATATTTCCGCGCATTATGTGGCGTTATCAAAGAATATTTTATACATTAAAAACTTACATAAAATTTGTTAGAGAGAGAGAGAGAGAGAGAGAGAAAGAGAGAGAGAGAGAGAGAGAGAGAGAGAGATAATTACTTAATTAACAATTTAAAATAAATTTAATAATTGTTACATATATATAATCAATTTATTTAGTTGCAGGCAATAATTTCGTTAATTTAATTTTTCAATTTATACATTGTATTTAAATATATATACTGGAAGATACGATCATTTTATTGTAATTTACTTGACTTATATCGAGTAACTTGTAAGCAATATTATACATAAATAAATTACTTTTTATCAATTGTACATACTATATGAATATAATTATATAAGTATATATATATATATATATATTCTGCTCATTAAATCCTAACACATTTCAATTCTAATACAATATTTTAATGGAAAGACACAGGGTTGGGTGTTAACTTTTTTTTAAACTAAGTTAAGTTAAAGTTAATAAACTTAAAAATTTAATACAAACTATAGAAATCAGCCTAAATGGCCTAGCTGGATCTTAATGCTTGTATGATTCTTATGTGAATTTATATATTACGTGTGTAGTCCCCAGAAACGTGCCGAAATCCCCAGAAATGTGCCGAAATGATTTTTCGGTCTTGAAACGCTAACTCTATTAAACTACCGCAGTAATATCACGAGTTAAATTAAACCCGGTGTGCAATTGCCGCTCTTCCTCCTCATTCCAATGTTCCTGTGTTTATTCCGAATTCCGCCTATCCATATTTAGTACCGGTGGAATTCTTCTTCGATCTTTTTCCTCCTTCCTCCGCTACTATATGCGAAATAGAATAAAGAAAACCATTCAGCACTGCTCACCCTAAATTTCATTCTCTGGCGATTTATATGTAAAATATTAATATAAATAACGTCGTCAAATAAATCGAATCCTTTATTGTGTGTAAGTTAATTTGTAATAACAAAGTTAATTTGTAATAACAATTTTAATTCGTAATGACAATTTTAGTTTGTAATAACAATTCTAGTTTGTAATAATGATTTTAGTTCGTAATGATAATTTTATTAATATGTAACCTTTCTTTTACTTTATTTCTTTATTTTTCTTGTTATTGTAACCTGTTAACGATAGATTAGTAATGATTAGTATTAATAAATGATGCTAATAATTTTACATCTCTCTCATTCACTAATTTTAAAACTCTGAGACCTCGTAGTCGTTAGCCTTGCTTTTTCAGAGATCGCACGTGGTCCAGTCCTGAGTTAAAAGGATTAGATTCCTTGACTCGAAATTTGGGCCGACAATCGCACCGCTCGTAGGAAACAGGTGATAAAGCGTGCTCGTGGGACGTTGACCCATATTCCGAAGCGAGCACAAAGGGGTGCGTTCGACTCGCGGTACTCGCCTCCATGGGGATACGTGCGAGACAAGAGTCTGACCATCCTTCCAACTACCCTCATCATTTCCGCTCTTTCCGCTCCAATAGGATCATAAAATTAAAAATTTCCAAGGATTTGGACGTAACATATATTCGCAATGGAATACAACATTTAATCTCAAAAAATTAAAGACGAAGCATCATAAAATGAGAAAATTTTATTAAAATAATAAAATTTTTATGTGTAAAAAAACTTGGCGCGTTGCTAGACCTCAAAATATAATAAGATGATCATCAAATAATACCGAATAAGAAAAATAATAGAGATTTAAGAAAGAAAATGAGGTGGACTAACAATATACAGTGTGTGAGTATGTACGAGCAAATAATTAAATATATCATCTGAATAAAGTATAGCAAAATATGTAAATAAAATAGAGTATTTTCTAAATGAAGTATATATTTGTCACTTCCGTTATTTGTAAGACTGAAACCCTGGAATCATGAAATAAAAAATAAAAAAAAACGAATTTTACTTTTAACTTTTTAATTACTTCTTTTTATTAACTTAACTTTTAATTCAATTAATTTCATTATAAATTAACTTGTATCTTAACTAAGTTAAATTTTTAAACAATAAAATATTAAATATATTATAGGACCGTATATGTGATAACACAAACTGTAGAAATCAACGCTTAATTAAAGGGTCTAGCTGGATCTTAATACTTGTATGATTCTTATGTGAATTTTTATATATTACATGTGTAGTCCCCAGAAACACCGAAATGATTTCTCGGTCTTGAAACGCTAACTCTATTAAACTACCGCAGTAATATCACGAGTTAAATTGACTAGCAATTTAACAAACAATAATTTTACATTTAAACAATATCTTTTATTTTTAGACCGTATATGTGAGAAACACAATCAATACTAGAAATTTAAAATGCCTATTACGGTCGAAGCTGGATCTTCGTTGCTGTTTAAATAATTTAATCTTGAATTACTGATATACACTATATATGTACTTACATATATACCCCATATTGTAGTCTTTTTCAAACTGCGCGCCGAATTATTTTTCCGGACTAAATAAACTCAATTAAAACTACTCTAGTAATCGCGAATTAAATTGACAAGCAATTTAATAATTTTGATGCTATCATCAAGCATCATATATTATAAAGATGTTAATATATTAAAACTGTTAATAAATTGCGAAAAATATTACCTCGGCCGGGGCTTGAACCCGGATCTCTTGTAAACCGTACGAGTGTCCTAAGCCATTTGCTTCGGTGGTCTAATGGCTTAGGACGCTCGTACGATTTACAAGAGATCCGGGTTCAAGTTCCGACCGAGGTAATATTTTTCGCAATTTATTAACAGTTTTAATATATTAACATCTTTATAATATATGATGCTTGATGGTAGCATCAAAATTATTAAATTGCTTGTCAATTTAATTCGCGATTATTAGAGTAGTTTTAATTGCATTTATTTAGTCCGGAAAAATAATTCGGCGCGCAGTTTGAAAAGGACTACAATATGGTATATATGCAAGTACGTATATAGTGTAAATTAGTAATTCAAGATTAAATTATTTAAAAAGCAACGAAGATCCAGCTTCGTCCGTAATAGGCATTTAAATTTCTAGTATTGATTGTGTTTAACAAATTTATTTACAGATTTTAATATGTTGTCATTCAACATTATTAAGATCATTTCAAAGATGCCGGAATTTTCTTTTTTGGATTTTATGCTGTTTCCAAAGCTCAAAATTATCATGAAAATTAAACATTAATTTCAAGACTTAATTTCAAGACAGAATATTCAGAAAAATATGACTAGTGATCTAAACACATTTCAACTACGGAACTAAAAAAGTGTTTGGACCCTTTATATCAAAAATGTATCAAGTGTACTGACGTCATGCAGGATTACTTTGAAAGATAAAATATAACATAATATTCGGACAGATCTGTGTTTCTTTATTGTCTTAGTTCGGGAACTTTATTGGCAGACCATGTATATCGATTTTAGTGTCAATCTTTTTAGAGTCACAAACTGATACAATTATTTGGGAAGTTATAATTTATACACATACATATGACTCGAAATAATTTCAAGTATTAATAACGGAATACAATTTTGTACAGTACTAATATACTTTTATAAACAAATGTAAAAAGTAGAATTTACCCTATACAGCACACTTTATCGTGAGGATATCCCAAATTGTCCCATATTGACGAAGTGATCCCACGGATATCCTATCAGTACATTAATATCAATTAATATTGTAAGATATTTTGTCATATTCAAATCCTTTCATCACACAACACAGTTCTTCAAGAAATATTCTAAGAATGCCCAAAGTACAGCAAAGGTTTGCAGTTGAAAAGTGTCAGAACTAGAAAAGATTAGAAGCAAAGAACGTCATAGTTACTTTGAATATAAACGATATGACGTACAAGACAAAACCATACACGGAGATACTCGTACACTCTATAGGCAATTATATATGACAGATACAACATATATATATATCTGGCAGCTAAGTACACGTAAATACATCTTGTCAGAGGAATTGTCATTTCCTTGAACATTTCGATCGATACGTTCTGCACGGAAAAAAGTTACCCCATCTCCCCGTTGATAAGTTACCTTTCACGTTCACCTTTTATCAAGCATGACACGCAAAATTGCTGTCTAGGGTTTCCATCGCACATAGTATTTTTCTCTATTACACCTGCTAAAATATTAATTCGTTCTTCAAATATCAAAGACGAGACGAGACGAGAAGTTTAGTCAATTGCGTGTTGCCAAAGGTAAAACGTTACTTTTAAAATTATGGTACTGGTGTGGAAAGATTACTACAGTATTACAAAGAGATTGTTGATATTCTGCGGTCTGTGGCCTTATCAGGAAAAACGAATAAGGCTTTTCCGAGTGAGCTCATTGACTCTGATCATTTTATCGCTGATGGTTCCACAGGTTTTTCATAATATTTTTACAATTCGTTACACTAGATATAAATCTGATGACAAAAAGGTTGAATAAAAAAAAAATTGAAGTACGCAGTGTATACGTAATGTATCTGTATCTGTTACGCTAGCCTTATAGACGATATATAACTCGACAAAATTAAGGATAGATTCTTTTTATTATTTAATGAAACGAATAAAAAATTTATATTAAAATACACACATATCCAAATGCACGGCAGATAAAATTAAAAATAGAATTTTAGCATTTTTTTTCTGTGAAACTACACCATAAATACTTTAAAGTTACTCTTTTAATAAGAATACTTCCAGGTGGCCCAATTTTTTCATTGCGATGGAAACTCGCGATGTATTAAACTGACTATACCGATGTTTATATTGATGATTTCGTTTCTGGTGAAACTATATACATTCCAATTTAACAGTAGCAAAGTATACCAATACCGAAATTTATATTAAATATTTGATCGAAAATTATTCAAATTTTTATAATCCTTTAAGATCTCGATTGTCTTTAATCATTGAATTGTCCGATATAATTCAACATTCATCGAGGATGTTTTTAGATCCAAAGTCTTACTGACCACATGTGTGACGATTGGAAGAAGTTGAATAGCGCGGAGGAATATGAAATTATGAAAAAGTATGCCACGAACGCAAGATTGATTACTGTGGTATATTTGAGTAAGGATAAATCGATCTGTATTCTTTTGATTTTAACGAATGATGAACAATTATTTCGTTTTGTTACAGTATATGTATTTATTAGCTCTTGGGGATTCGTATTAATTTCCTTTATGCCAAAATTATTGAACATCGTGTTACCCCTCAACGAATCCCGGCCTATAAATATGCCTTACTATGCTTATTACTTCGTGGACGAAGAAAAATATTATTTCTATATTTTAATTCATATGTTTGTGTTCGGGACTATGGCTATTATAGTGGAAGTCACCCATGATTGCACGTTCTTTATTTACATTGAACATGTCTGCAGTCTCTTTGCTGTGGCTGGGGAAGAAAAAC